TTAAATAAGCAAAATTAGTTGTTAATGAGACCCCTATGCATATTTAGGAAAGCTGAATAATTTATTAAGAACTGAGAAGTGACGACTAGAGAAGTAAGGTGAGATGTAAGCAGCCTATGTGAGGCTGACTGTGTCATTGTGCTTGGGGGAGGAGAGCTAGTAAATTAACCCTTTTATGCATAAAGCAGAACTGAAGTACATGGCTCTATGAAGCAGCTCTGGAGAAAGGACAGGAGATGTCCTGGATACAGAGGCAGGCTTTAGTGGTGCCAGAATGGGTACTTGGGATACTCTTTAAGTGGCATCCAGAGTGCTCTACAGCCCCAGAATCCTGCTGCTCAGAAACACCCCATTCATTTACCTTTATAATGAATCACATTTCTGACATGGAAAAGTGCTTTAAGTGTGCAAAGAAGAAAAATCATATATGTTGGGTAATGGGGTCAGTGTTCCTGAGCTGGAGACTATGGGGTAAAAGCAACAAGTACAGACAATAAATTTATTTAGCTATTTATCTGTTGCTCTCTCCCCAAAATCCCTCTTAGGAACTTTACCTAATAAAAGCTAATTACTCCTACTTCAGCTGCCATGCACCCCACTTCATTTGTTTGCTGAAGAAGGCTTTTCACAGGCCTCGGTTTGCACTGAGGTGGAACAGAGAACCCCCAATGTCCCAGTGGAGAACAATTACTGGTACACGTACAGGGAAAGCTGTGTGGTCTAACACAGCTGGCTTACTCTGCTGGCTGCCATGGGAGTGAAGAGGTTTGGCCCTGGCTCTTCCCTTCTCTCCATTTCCTTTAGAAGTGATTTGCTAGCAGTGAGCAAGGCCTGAATTTAGTACCACTGAGACCCTACTTGTAGCATAACTCCATACAGAGGCACAGGTAGGAAGCTCTTTTGCTCGTTTTTCTGTACCTGCACATCTGTGCAATATGCCCCAAACTAATGCAATGTTATTGCAGAAAGGAGCACCAGCACCTTCTACTTCTCCCACCAGACTCAAGAACTAGATTGGATACTCCTGAGCATCAGAGCACCTTATCTATTGACTCTTTATATCAATGATTCTCAGCTACAGGCACTGGTATCTGTGGGTGCTGAGATCCTTTTAAGGGTGCCACAGGGAGGTGCTTAAAATTAGCACTGTTAACTATTCAGACACCTACAAATGAATCACAAGTTAAACCTAGAGGTTTCAAATAGGAATCCATAGTACACATTCTAACCTGTTGTGGTCTTTTTGAATTCTCTGCAACACAAGAATTATTCTAGTGTTTTATAGTAGAAAATAAGTGAAAGCTAAAAGCTGGCATTTTCCAAGGGGTTCCTTGAGTCTAGAAGGCTAGGGACAGACATTACACATAAACTGGTTTAAGTGATCAGAAACTGGTTTAAACCTGTAACAGAACAAATGCTCCCGCACCTGGGGAGAGGGAACCAGCATTATGGTTATAGGTTAGGGGCTGACCCTCTCAGCAGCACAGAGGCAGAGAGGGATCTTAGAGTCAGGATTGACTCCAGGATGAATATGAGTCGCCAATGCGATGAAGCAATAGGCAGAGCCAACCGCACCCTGTCATACATCAACAGGGGCATCACTAACAGGTCCAGAGAGGTCTTGCTCCCCCTCTATGCGGCACTGGTCAGGCTGCAGCTGGAGTCCTGTGTCCAGTTCTGGGCGCCGCACTTCAAGGAGGATGTGGAGAACCTGGAGAGGGCCCAGAGGAGGCCACTTGTATGGTTGAAGGCCTCTGTGGCCAGCCCTATGAGAAAAGGCTGAGGGACCTGAATCGCTTCAGTCTCTGCAAGAGGAGGCTGAGGGGGGATCTTGTGGCTGCCTACCTTATCAGGGGCCAGCAGCAGGGACTTGGGGAAAGTCTGTTCACCAGGCCCCCCCCTGGAGTCACCAGGAACAATGGCCACAAGCTGAGGGAGGATAGGTTTAGGTTAGATATTAGGAAGAACTACTTCACTGTAAGGGTGGCCAGAGCCTGGAATAGGCTTCCCAGAGAGGTGGTGCTCTCACCTTCCCTGGAGATCTTCAAGAGGAGACTGGACAGGCACCTGGCTGAGGTCTTATGACCCCTGCCACCCCCAGTGCTCCTTCCTGCCCATGGCGGGGGGTCAGACTCGATGATCTGTCTAGGTCCCTTCCCACTCATTGATTCGATGATTCTATGTGCCAGGTTATACAATCTGGAGATACTCCTTGTCAGAAAAGTGCTATCTTTGCTATGCTATAATGGCACTTAGCACATGTTTACTGTTTGAATGCTTGGGAGATAGTATTTTTAGTGTAGTTAATGTATCCTAAGTGTAATGCACAACAAGGCCGTCAAGTAACTAGGGCCAGGAAGCAGCAATTTGGCTTTCCTGTTGCCTGAGCCCCTGACACTGGCTCTAGTCCAAAAAGTGCTTAGGCTTCCTTCTCCTTGCACAGATGGCAGTGGTAGTAGGTCTTGGGTACAGTCTAGGTGCTGCTCTGATCACAAGCACTTCTTGAAGTTCCAGCTGTGTTTTGCCCCAGGGTGCCCTGGATCAGAATGAGCCAATCAGAGAATAAGTGCTCACTTGGGAACTTGGTTATTATTCTAATGGACATTTAGGGTTATGCTAATGGACATCAATTTTAATGACTGCCTTTGCCATCCATCCTTTAATTACAAATGCAAAGAGAAGAGCAGAGGGAGCACTGCACAGCTCAAATGTCTGCACTTGTGCATTCAGTACAGGCTCGCATGTCTCTATCTGCTGGGGCAGTGGCATGGAAAATGTCTACTCCACTCTCCTGCTGACACCATGATTTCTCCAGTGGAGGGACTTATTCTGCAGGATTAGTACAGCTTCCAGCCTGAGGGCCTCAAGAACACAGTGTCACATCAGGCCTGAATCCCCCAGTCCTTCAAAAGCCATAGCTTCACCAGGATAGGGGCCTGTGGTCTAGAACAGTAGTTCTCAACCAGGGTGCTGCAGCACTCTGGGTGCATAAAGATCCTTTCAAGGGTGCCCAGGAGGTCCATGCAATGTTAGCACTGTTTGATATGCAAACATGATACATATGATAAACCCAGAGATTTCAAATAGGAATCTCCAGTGTTAAAAACATACTGGTGTGATATTTCTGAGTTCTTTGCAATGGAAGAACTGCTCCATTATTTTTCTGTAAGCAAAAAAAAAGTTAAAATTAAGAGCTAGCATTTTCTGAGGGGTGCCTTGAGACTGCTGAAGAGTGCTTCAAGTCTGAAAAAGCTGAGAACTACTGGTCTAGAAACACAGAATCATAGAAAAATAGGGCTGGAAGAGACCTCATGAGACCATGAGATCATCTATTCCAGTCCTGCTGCTAAAGGCGGGATCATCCCTACTCAAACCATCCCATGCAGATTCTTGTTTAACTTATTCTTAAAACTGCACAAACAGCCCTGACACATAGCTGCAAAGCATATTGCCCCCAAACACCAAAAATATCCTAACCTGCTACAAGTAAAGCAAGGGGACAAGGGCACTGCCAACATCCTACCACTGCAAGTCTTGTTAGAATCCACTTGAGAAACCCAAGGAAGACTGCCAGGAATCCCAGTTCAGAGGAAGAAAAAAATCTCGACAGTGCATGCTGACCTGACTGTGGGGCAAAATTTCTTCCTGATCTCAAATGTGGTGACTGGTTTGACCCTGAGCAGAGGGCCCAAAACCTCTAACTAGGAACCTCTGGGTTTTAGTCCTAGCAGGAGCATTAGCATGCCCTGGTCAAAAGTTTCAACTTTGGCTGCAGTCAACATCCAATACAGCCCTCCCTGCCCCTCCCAAAAAAATAACCCCCCCCAAAACCCCCAAAGAAACCCAAAAGCCCTGATACCTGTAGGAACAAGAGGGGAAAAAAATCCCCCCCTCTCCATGTGGTAAACAGAACAGCCCAGAGACATGGGATACACTAAACACCCTGCATTCTGCTCTACAACTAGGGGACTTCAAATGTAACTCCACATCTCAAACCCACTAACTAGAAAGCCAAAACTACACTTTTGGGCATCCTAACCTCCCCATAAACATATTTAATATTCCTTTAATATTCTTTCATAACTAAGCTAGTTCGGGAGCTCCTCTTTGTTTTCCTGCTAAACATGGTTCTCTCCAATATCTGTCTGCTCTGGGCTGCAGATCTCCCGGCAATCTGTGAGTGTACTGGGGGGCTCCCAGGCTTTCAATTGTTGCTCTTTGCAGTGTACTCCAGCCATAGCTACTCCTAGATCAGCCCTGGCCAATGGTTACCCTACCTCCAACGAAGCAGATTCCACAGCTTTTCTAGACAGTCTATTCCACTGCCTCTCTATTGTAACACCAATGAAGTTTTCCCTGGTATCCAATTTAAACTTACTTTGCTGCAATTTCAAGCTATTGGTCCATGTCCTGCTCTCTACAGCAAGGGAGAAAAGGTGTTCTCCCTCTTCTTTATTGCAGCCCTCCACATATTCGAAGACTGCTGTCACGTACCCTCTTATTTTCCTTTTCTGCAAGCTGAACATCTGCAGCGTAGGGATGCACCATGGATTTGTAGAGTGCAGGGTTCTCAACCCCTGGTCCAGAGACCGGATCCGGCTTGGAAAGCTCTGTCATCCATCCCACAGGGCTCACCAAGGGTGTGATAATTTGGTGATGAGAGAGCAGTGGCAGCTTTAATTGCCACTTCCCAGCTGCCAAATTTATGGACCAGTAAGAACCTCTGCAGGTAAAAAGCACGGCCCTGCATGCTAGACTGGGTGGTATGGGGCCCAGATCTGGCCCACTGACTAGCCCTGCACCACTCATCAAGCCCAACAGAGCCAAAAGATTGAACACCACTGGGGTGGTGGCATGAGGATGTTTCATTTTGTTTTCAGATCTCTTTTTAATGATGTCCAACACTTCATTATTTTTTTGGTCACTGCTCACATGAAACTGCTTTTAGAGAATGGGTCTATAATGTTACAACTCAGGAAAAAGACCTTGGAGTTAATTAGTTCAAAACTCAGTACTTTGTACATAGAATTGAGGTGATTTTTCCTGAGGCTCATATGGGGTGAGGCTGAAATACGTCAGTATATTCAGAAATGGTGTAACTGGGGCAGGG